GGGCCTACAAATCTCTGAGGAAAACTTTGCACTTCGAGGATGCAAACGTAGTTCGAAACGACTGACAGACAGTGCTAATCTGTCCTGTGCAGCTTGACACCTTTGTGAGCTGTCACATATGACGGCAATATCGTCGACAAACTCTGCGTCACGAAGTCGTTCAGCTTGGTTCAGCTCCACACCTTCTAAGTCGTATCCTGTAAACGCGATCCCCATGGCTTCGTCAATACAAAGTTGAATAGGAAAGGTGAGCGCCTGCATCCTTGTCTTATACCACCTTAGCTAATCAAGGGCGACTATGGCATGCTATATACCCTCACTCTACACGAGGTACGCGCGTAAAGCGCTCGGATAATATTTTCCTTTTACTCGTCCGCACCTTTCCTGAGTCAACGGTCCCAAATGGCACATTGAATGGACAGTGATTGGTCGCCAATATAAATGACGATGCTCCAACAATTGGAGCAAAGTGAAGATATGAGCTATGCAGCCCCGACCTGGACGAAACCCGTTTACTCCTCACGAATCTGTCATCATGAAATGGGTTTAGGGTAAAGTCATTGTGTTGTTTTGCATGTGCAGCCGGCTGTCATTTTGTCTAGGCCAGGATAGAAGCATGATTAGGTTTCACAACTAAGGCTTTCCCTTCAAGTACCTTACTGCAAGACTGTATGTTTGATAGTGGTCTCCAAGGGTTACCTTTTAAGCAATGAGAAACCATCTTCTCTGCAACCTGCAGGACCAGCAAATTGTATTTGTCTGGCCCCTGACCATTGACCAATCTGGTTTGTTTGGCTCTGAAAGTGCAGAAAGCACGACCCGGCATAGTTCATTGGATCGCTAAGCCACGCAGACTATCCCACCACGGTTTGGTCCAGACTTACTGCGACATTTTGGACAATAAGTGGCGTTCGAAAGTGTTGTCAAGTTTCTCTATTTTTCGGTTTCGTCGGATACTTCGTCATGGCGTGTTCCCTTGCTGAATCTGGCGATGCAGGCATTGAGGTGCTGCCTGTTAGAAAGCCATTTGATCTCGATTATGCGGACAATATTTTCTTACTGTTTACCGATGCTAAGGCGGCGTAATAAACACTGATTAACATTTTTCGTATTGTTCCATTATTTCCTATGCGCTTTGCACCTTCAAAGTACTGAGCATTGTCGCACGACCACCGGCTACTTATTGACTCCTTGACCCTTGATAGCGGAGGAACTCAAGGTGGTGGATTATTTCACTTTAATTGGCAGCTGCATCCTCAACGATTGCTACATAGGGACTGAAATGAGTTAACGTATTGCAAAAGCTAGAACTGTCTTCGTTACTCTACGACATCATTTTACGACGCAAGGGCCTCTCCCTCAGTTTGAAAGGCTGTGCTTACAAGACCACAATGAGGGCCGTTCTGCTATATGGAAGTGAAACTTGGTCCCTTCCGTCTGAGAATCTGAGACACCTTCAGGTATTTGACCATTTTTATCTGCAGAACATTGCTGCCATCGAGTAGCAGCATCGTGTCAACAAAGATGATGTGCGAACTGTAGTTCTAGGCAGGGATAATCAAGTTAATTACTTAGAAGAAAAGATAGCAATAATTACATAGCGTTGGCTTGGGCACGTATTCGTCATCATCATCATTACACGTTAGCTGGAGGTGGAAAACACCTCAGCTATTGTGCCGCAATACAAAAGACAAGAAAAGGAAAACAGTGGCAAACAGTGGCACGCCCGCTGAGTCCCCAGTAACGGATGGACATCGTTCCGGAGAGCTAACAGCTGGCTGCCGTAAAAAGAGAATCATATTATGCCTAACAGGTGAGATCGTGATTGGAGGGGGATGGGCAAAGGAAATCACAACACAAACGCCATTGGTGCCGGCTCCGAGCCATATCAGCAAGTGTGTCCAACCAAACGTGTTCACCGTCCTTAGGACCTCAGCCAGGCAGTCGGGATGCACCAACCGACGCCAACTTCGAAGTGAGGGTTTTCATTTCTCTCGACCAAGTCATCACTTGGCCTCCCCTCCTCCTCTTCCAACCGCACCCACAACGCGCAAACAATGCACGTCGCGGGAGTCGGTGTGCTGGCATGCGCAACACGTGGCCCAGCCATCGGAGCCTGGTGCGTGATATAATGGTGCTGCGAGGTTCACTCGCTCTTCCTGCACCAAATACGCGACGTCGAACACGCTCATTGCTCACGCGGTGTTCCCACCAGACATGAGCTAAGCTGCGAAGGCAGCGATGATCGAATGTGACTTGGGCACGTATTACATATGCCCAGTCACCACTTACCTAGGAGGACCTTATTTAGTCTGCCTCACATAGGGTGGCGCAACGTTCGCGATGGACAAAAGTTTACTTGACACCGGGAAATGAAGTCACTGACGACCAAACTGGGTGCCATTGCTCCGTTTCGCCTTCTCGGCTGGAGTCCAGGTGACTCGCCCTGCTCGTTACCTCTAAGAATCACAAACCTGCCTCGTAATTCGGAGACTGGTTTGATCCTGCGTAAGGACCTTGCGACCTTCGCAGCATCCTTAGCTCACATGCGACTAGTGTTGGTTACGTAGCAACGAAGCGTCGGTACTGCCTACTGGTGTACTGTTATGTGCCTCGCCTCGTGCTTGGCCCTAAACTTTACAGGACATGGCTCGCGGTCGACACCTGTGGAGCGTCCGCTGCCGTCTTTTATTTGGATTACCTGTTTACAGTGTGTTCAGTGCACTTATCTGCAGGGTAATGGCTGCTTATGACGCGGCAAATTGAAAGCCGCAAGGAAGCTGTGTCGCTGATGCCGCCTTATCGTTGTACAACAGTCAGCTGTTTTGACGGTGCTTTGTTGACAAAGTGTACGCATCTTGACCATGAGTATCCGCCCAGGACATTAAACTTTTCCACTAAGTCACCTTTTTCTCCTTATTATTCTATTTTTCGTGGGTCCTTGTGGTTGTATGGCAGGGAAACATCAGCTCAAATGTCTGATGTACTGCTGATGTGGTGATGACATCTTCACAGCTGCAGTGACGGCTTGACTTTTTGACAATGAAGTTGGCCCATGTTGCCTAATAGGAACGGTTCCCATGACACTGGCCTAATTAGCTACATATCACATTACATACGGACAGGAAGTTCCGCATATCTTTGACGGAAGAGGCAATCATAGGTTCGATAGATTATATATATATATATATATATATATATATATATATATATATATATATATATTGCAACCGTCTACGAATAAACATAAAGCTTTCAGAAACCATGGGACTAAAAATAAGGTACAGAAATCGTAGAACAACACCACGGTGTCCATAGTTTTGTCAGAGGGCGAGATACTACCCGGTTGTCCGAGCCGAAATAGGGTGTTGACTTAGGGTACACTACTCCGAACCTTTAGCCGAATAGCCTGCCCGCAAGGCAGCGGCGCGAATTCAGGGAATCGCGCCCATTGGGGGCCGATGACTGATTGCTCAGTTCATACGCCTTTCGTTTGACAACAGGGGCCCAATGCTCCCCAGCATTAGAGCATAAAGTTGCTAGAATACAATGCCTCGCCAGGATGTAGCAAGAGGCAATGGCTTTATTTAGTGGCCAATCACATCTGCCACGTCACGGCCTTGTTAAGCGGACAAATGTGGCTTTTTATAGGGAGAACACTTGCCAGGCGAAAACCCACCACTTCCTGGAACACTGCCGCCGAACCATTTCTGGAACGGGAAAATCCCGAACCACCCAGCTGGCACTACGAGGACGTTATTCGACAGGCCAGCACTATGCTCAACGCCACATGGCGTTCCTTCTAAGCATGATCTGCTTTTTTGCTGTAACTTATACCACAAGAGCTACATATACTGAGCGTAGCAGCAGCGACATCATAAGGGAATCAGGAGTTTTTAAATCGTATCCGAGCCAACTGCGGTGTATATCGGCTGTGAGGTGTACCCAGATAAGCGAAGTTCATAAGTATTGGATAGTACACTGTAAGCTAGGAGCAAAATCCGGCTCTATAACCAATATAATGGCACTCTTGTTTGTTGGAAATAAGTAGTACGAATATCGACCGGTGGCAACTGAATATATTGCTGAGGTGAATCATGAGGCTATGTGACACCTGCAGTAGGCCGGCACACCATACCAACGCTTTACTGCAACCCGATCACCACTAGTCACGCATGGATTTAGTGTACCGCGAAACTGCCCGGCGATTTCTGGCTTACAAGACAGGTGCCTAATCCTCTCGGCCTTCACCCGATGCAATGCTTGGTACTAGAATCTCATTCAGCAGTTGCGATACACGGAGACCGGAAACATGAGGGATAACACCCAACTTTCCGATAGATGTTGCATTTGTAGGAAGGAGCGGGGTGAGGGTCTTGCAAACCCACATGTGCTGTCACAATGATACGAAAACGGTTTATTCACTGGCATATGGCTTGGTAGATTGTATTGTCATATTGGCTAAACTGTTCGGACAACACTCGATTAAAACTCAGTCTACTGTCTTTCTGATCAGTGCACATGCTCCACCTTAACTTACTGGTTCTTTCTGTAGTATCGTTTCGTATACTTTTTTGATCATCGATCCTAAAGATCGGCTTCTTGCTCAGCTTTCAGGCTTACACTTTTCTACGCGGTACAGATGAACAATCGCATGGAACAGTTTGGTTGGGCCATGAAGTCATTCATAGATTAGCCAGTTTCTTGTTTTATTCTGTAGAACAGTCCCTTACCGTAAACATGTCCACTCGATAAATTCAGTTATGATCGAACGCGCTGTAAGTGTCTTGGGTTCTCACTCTGTCCAATCGTTGATGCCTCTCGTCTCTATGCAGTCGAGGAAATAATCTCAATCTAAACTCAGCAGCCACACCCTTACCACTTGTTTGATGCACTAAATGTTTTTCTTCTCTTCCGTTGTCAACGATTTTTAGTTTGTTTCCTCATCATGCATGTCTCCTTAGATTGTTATATCCCATTTATGCCATCTGTCTTTGTAGAATGAAAACGCAGCACCGCGAAGCGACGGTTTACCCGGTTCTCGTGGAATTCTTGGTCCATACAGCCCAGGTGGTACATTTGGGGCTCCTCAAAGCCTTAGGGTTGTTTGTGGTAATTGCAACTCCCCATTTTCCGTCGCCAGCAATCCGGCTCAAGCGAGCAGCCAACACAGTAGGCTGATTTCATGTTTGTCTGGGGGCACTTCTGCGCGATCCAGCGGCCTTATTGCAGCTAGATGTCCGCATTGTCGCAAAGTCACTTCGGTTGGCCCTGCTTATGCTCGTGTTCGACAAGTGGTCTACGGTATACTCACACTGGTTGCTTTGATTATCGCCATTGGTGTAACTGTTGGAACAGTGGACGCTGCTCGACAAAACAAGGCGTTGTATTTTTTATGGTCTGGTGAGTTCACCTTTCATACCTATGCCGACCGTTCCCTAACACTCATTCGGTCAGTACCTGCATTCTCATGCGCCTCACTTTTCTCTTTGACTATCTTGGCGTTGTTAGTGCATCTTTTGCCACATCTTCCATTTTGTGACTGCGATGTCTTCACGGTTGCTTGATTATTCAACTGATATCATCTCTTTTTACCTGTCTAGTCCTTTTTGCTCACTTGCCTTGCTGACACCACGCGTCGTCTGTGCTCCCTACGATTGTGTAAGTTTCCCTCTGATTGCCGATGCAATTGGCCCCATCAACTCGACGGTGCTCCAAATGAATTCAACAACTGATCTCAGATGGTGGGAAACGCCGCGACCTAATTAAATTTTTTTCACTCTGTTTTTTGGTGGAATTCTTTCTTTGTCGCCTATCTTCCGTCGCTTCAGACTCGTTTCAGTTTATCAAATGATGCGACAGGCTATCAGATATCGACATCCGCGCCTTTAGTCAGGATGTTTTCAATTAGTGCTGAGCACTACGACTGTTTGCATCTGTAAGTTGTTCATCTTTTTGCACTTCACTTAACCCAATTCTGGACAAATTGGTCTCACGTTGATACAGTCATCCATACTAAAACTACTGGTGTTCCGAACGAGCTTGCATATTCTACTACAACCGTATCACTGTGGTCGCTAGCGCCTTGGTTTTTTGACGGCTGTCATCTGCCGCATTAGAACAAATGATGCATGAGTTTGACACCCGTAGGGTAACGAATTATGTACTTGGAGAACTGTTCCCACCGGTCGCGAAACACCTGCTCATTATTCTTTGTGGTTAATGGTCTCTGATTTTGTCCGGTCGAACGTTCTTTGCAGCGCGCGCTGATAAACCGCATGGCATCTTATCTCCTTGAAGTGGAAAAAAGAAAGAGTGGTAGCAGTATGTCGCCAAACTGTACGGACGCCTCACTGCCACGCGACGACCACCGATCGCGCGTGAACTGGGTATACCGCGCGTGGTCGCACGCACCTACACAGATTCGAACTACTGAGCTCCAGATTACCAGGCAGATTATTAATCCTTTCGGCCACCAGCCTACTCCTTGCTCAGATGTATCGACTGGTCTAAAGCAGTTTTCATTAGTTTGTTGTTTTCCGGTTAAGTTGTACCAACTTTGCGCACTACTTCCGCGATCCATTAGGTCATGGTTTGTATCTCTAGTTGTCGTGTTGGCAGACACGCATTATATAAATTGTAGTGCGAGCCTACGCTGTTAGGTATGCTTCGCGAGCAAGCATGGACTGTCTGATTTGCCATCTGGAGTTTCCTGTAACCAGACTTATTCACCAGCATTACATCAGCGCATCGCAGTGAGGCTGGACCTTAACGTTCATCGTTGGTTTGTGGCTTCAGAGATCCATTGAGTTAAGCTAACTGGAACTTTTTCGCTTTCAAAGCCACTCATACCAGATTGGTCAATAGTCAGAGGCCAAACAAACGCAGTCTCCTGGTCCTTCAAGTTGGGGGTTGGAGTGAGCGTGGCTCCTTATTCCTTAAAACAGACTCCTTATAGCCACTGTTAAACCCGCCGCCTTGCGGTCAGGTTTTTGAACCATTGGCTTTGCTTGAGAACCCTACTTGTTATTCTGTCTAAGCCTGGGCAACCTGACAGTATCCTGCCTACGCAATGTTATGAACCTTTCCTTAAACAATTTCTTTATGCTCTGACCGTTGTCGAGAACGAAAAACTGCGCTCTATCTGCTGCATTGAGCAGGACAGATTGAGGTTTGGATACTACCGCTCAGGCCTTCTCGTCTTCTTATTCTGCCTCTTGTGCTTTTTTTATCCTTGTGGTCCCGTTCCAACTCCACTTTTATCCCCCACCCTGTTTTAAATCCCCCAATTCTTTTTCTTCCACCGTCTTTGTTCACTAGTCGCTTGTCTTCTAGTTTCAACTCACATTCCATGGTGGCACATTAGCTGACGTACGTTTCTCACCATCAGCTAACGTGTGTTGAATACTGAATACCGAATACTGAGAATAGAGAGCGAGAAGATAAAAATCTGTGTTGCTCCATCGTAGGTGGATCGGGCACATGCGCGAAATCACGTCGCTTATTCCTGAGCGATCACAGCATAGTAAGGCTGCACCACAATTATCCGGGTGCGATACGCTCCATATACCTATTGTTCGCAAACTGGCCGTCAAGGAATCTCTTAAATTCCGTGACCTATTTAACCTCGACCAGTGTCTCAGGCACTTTGTTCCACTATTAGACTACCCGACGCTCAAAGCATAGAGGGTGCGCAATGCGCTTTAAATCCTTTACCATTACTTTGTACCAGGGTGTGCTACTTGTTGCGCAAACCTGCGGCAGCGGCCTCAACATAGGGAAGGGTCCTAGATGCAGTATCCGGTGCATCATTATGAGGTCAGCTCAAAGCCGACGATATGACAGGGTATACAGCCCTAGTCTCCTACATCGATCCTCGTACGACATACTCCGTAAACTGAGGATGAGTCGGGTAACAACATACTGGACACGTTTCAGTTTCTGCACACCTATTGTGATCGGACAATAGGCTAGTGAGCCGTACTCTCTTCATACCAAGTGCAGAAGCTGTGTCTAAGTGCCCGAAGCAGGTGTAGTCCGTTTATCTACAGTCTGTTCGTGTTGTCAAAAGAGTTCAGACCACAGCGTGACAGTACGTCCAAATCCTTTATGGAACAGGTGGGATGCAACTGATGGCCGGACAGGGTGTACGCACACCCATTACCACCCCTCCTCAGGATTAAGAACGAGGACTTGACTGGGTTGACCGCTAGGTCAAATTCTACAGACCACCGGGATAAGCGGTCGAGGTCCTGCTGTAGCACATCACAGTCGTCGGGAGAATCAATAACCCTCCAAATTTTCAAGTCGTCTGCAAACAGCACAAGGCGACCGAAAAACCTGAGGCACTTTGTTTATGTGGATCAGGAATAAAATGGGCCCCAGCACTGTGTCTTGGTGTACACCGCTAGTGGAATGATACTAGCCCGTTAGGTGGTCATCCACCTGTACTCGCCATCCCCCAATAAGGAAGTCCCTAATCCACTGGTGCACTGTGCCACCAACACCACACATTCTCAGCTTGTGGAGCATCACTTCATGGTTCACTATATCGAAAACTTTACTGAAATCAATGTGGATAAAATCCACTGACTTCCCCCGGTTCAACACTTACAACTATTCCTGCCGCGTCAACAACAAGTTAATGATGCATGAGCGGCCCTTCATGAAGCCGTGCTGTACAGGGGTTAGATCTTCCGATTCCAACAGCTGGAGAAACGCTTTAACATTCTTCTCATGCATCTTCCTCAAAACAGTTGTGATGGTGGTGGTGGTGGTGGTAAGTAGCAAGACAACATCAAGGTAGAACATCCGATAACCCCGGATATTCATGTTTCGGACTGCTTCAACAAACTGAAACGTGTCTGTTAGGCAATACGGGGCTATCATCCGCCTAATAGGTTCTAGTATTTTTGTCAGTCATCTTGCAATGCTATGGTATGGCGAACTCCTTATGTCTGGTATTGATTTTGACAGTATGCAAAGTTTGTGTATCTTAGGGAGGCCATAAAGGCGTGGAATCACAGAGTCTTTGGGTCGAAGAGTTGCATATGTTTCTTTTGTTATGAAACGGTTACTTACTAGCAACTTTAATGACTTGGTCATTTGCATTTCTGTGTAGTCCGCTTTTTCTTTCCCTTGAACACGTTCAAATGTGAGAATTTGAAAGGCAACTCTATTTGGCGTGAGTACAGGCACATCAAGCAATTTTACAGATATCGGTCTGTGGTCTGTTAATAGTGGTCATGAAATAAGCGCTAGGCTTGTCCGCTGGGAGTGCTATTGTGCAGCATCTCGACCATGAATTCAAAGAAGTAGCGCGATCTGGAACGAACACAAAACGTGACGCTAAGAAGCTAACAAAAACGTTTTCTTTCGGAAATTCGCAAGGCGGAAAGCAACGTTGTCGCACATGGATGACCTTGTTTTGCTTTTGCTGAAGACGTTTATTAACTGGACAGTCCAATTTTTTGTTGCGGAGCGTTTATGGAACTGATGAAAATTAAATCCCAAAATATATGAATGCGAAGCTAACGAATAGCGTACTCAGGATTCCTTAACTGGAAGGAGCCATAGATCCAGCCTGTTGAAGCATACCGCAAGGCCGCCCATCTCTACGCAGATATGAGCTCGCGCCGCAAGATTAAGAGACAAGCTGGTTACCTCTAGACTACGGGCCGACGTATACGGATATTATAACAAGACAAAAGTCTAAGACCTATGTGAGCACACAAAAATTAGATCTTGTTCCGTGAAAACAAAGATTTTAAAAGAACGTTGGAGTTTTGAAGTTTAGTGGATTTGAAACTGCCAGCGGATGAAGGTGAAACGCTTACCATCAACACAGATGGCAAAATCTTGCCTCGACCAATCCAGTCTTGTCGGATCGGTTGCTGCTCATCGAATTTTCTCAGGCTGATATGACCTTACCGACATTGTTCTGAAGACTGAACGCTCGATACCCCTTCACACGAGAGCCTAGTTGGTTTATCCACGCCATAGTAATACATCTTTCCATTCCGATCTTGTCGTTTCCTTGCTGCTGTCTCTGTTTTCGATCCCTCTTAAATCTGACAGCCGAATTGCATTGTAACGCCCTAGCTTAGTCTCATCTGACCAGTCTGCTTCTGTGACTTCTTCCAGACCACCGGGATGTTAACGGTCTAAGCTCTGTATACTCAACGCATTGTCTCCCCCACCTCGACAGCTTGCTGGACTTGTACATTCTATGTCAATATTGCCACTTCTAGCTCTGACCTGTTTAATCCTACTGACTCCATTTATCTGCGCACCACTGATGAGCCCCAATAGGGCGAAACGGCCGTCTGGTGCTTTTCCGGATAGCTAGTTGACTTATCTGAATTGTCGGCTGATTGCGACGAACGAAAATACTCACCAAAATC